CAGTGTGTGCTTAAACTAGAAAAAGGGACTAAAATGTGCTCCAAATAGTTTGTCAAAGCATCAAAAGGCTGAAGAAAGATTCCTGTCATTCAGACCATGAGTTGTTTAACCTGCAGACTGAGTCCATCAACCAGAACTGCAGCAGGTGATAAACACTCCCAACACACCATTAGACAAAACAGTATTTTTTACATCATATATTTTGATATACTATATGAAAAGACAACATCAATTATCTTTATTTAATCATCTGAACAATTTGTACCACTGTAAACCAAAACGTTTGAGTACAGCCAAGGTTTACCTCTACACAACCACTAGAGGGCAGCAAAACATTTCTTCACTTCTACATAATGACTCATCTCCTCAGCTTACAGTCATTGTTGAAAATCAATTATTGACTTTCTGATAGTCACCTGATTTACACAGRATAAAAGCCTCAATAACTCATCTTTACATCAACTATTAAAAACTATTTCAATGTCATAATATTCCTAAAATTTCTATCTGTGTAATTTTTCATGTAAAACTAATTAGATCAAAAATGTCCAAACAGGAAAAATAGATGTAAAATTAAAGACTTAAATAAATCTGACCTGCTGTTGCTCTACAGTTTTTAACCTTCGAAACTAGTCTTAGCCATATATTTAGATACTTTGACCAGTATCAGTTAAATGTGGCGGTTATTTTGAATTTAATTGATTCCAAAGGTTTTAGCTGATTTGTGTAAATCACTACAAAGAATTGAAGCCTTTTTATTTTTGATAAAATTGCTCATGGCTGTGGCAGCTATCTTGTATGGATAAGCTTTAAAAATGTAATTCATTTATTATTTCTTAAATCGATCCTATRGCTCATGAGATATTTTGCTAACACAGAGTCTAACGCACACACAACACTGCTACCTGCCTCTTGTCTAGTAGTATACGCATTAAAAGTAAGGTGCTGTCAGAGTTCTAAAGTAACTAAGTACAAATACTTAGTTACTGTACTTAAGTAGAAATTTTGGTTATCTGTACTTTACTTGAGTAATTATTTTTCAGTGTACATTTTACTTTTACTCATTACATTTTTACACAATTATCTGTACTTTCTACTCACTACATTTTTTAAAAAGGTAAGAAGTAGAAAGTCGTTACTCCTGTTTTTAAAAACTCCTCTCC